AGCGTGCCCCAGCGCTTCCTTTCCTGGCTGCAACTCGGAAAGGAAGCACTGGGACGTGCCGAGTCCAGGCCCCCTGTGCCAGGGCAGGGCGCAGCCTGGAGAAGGTACCGTGCACCCCTGCAGGTGCCCACTGCCCTCACTCGGGCTGCTGCCCAGCCTGCAGCCTCCCCTCCCGACCCGCAGTGCCAGGACTCCAGCAGGTGCTCCCCAGTTTGGCTGAGGATGCAGGCACCCCAGCCTGTTCCCTCCTGTGCAGGTGGTGGGTCCCCAGCTGAAGCCAGGGTCGGATGTGCCAAGCCTGGGACCTTGGCGCTTCCTCCCCTGGGTGCAGCCCTGCAAACCTGCCTGTGGCCGGGGCCTTTCTTCCGAAACCAGCTGTCGCTAAGCAGCCTGCCTGTTGCCAGGATCTGGATCCCCAGTGGGACGGGATCAGCTCCCGGCAAAATGTCGCTAGTAACCGAAAGTTGGTCATATTGGGATTGCTGCAAACCGGCACCCGCTGTACTTAGATATACTCTTCAGCGCAGGCACTGTCTCTTGGCTCCCCGTTTCTACCGCAACCAGTGCAAGGACGCCCTAAATATTAGTAAGTGACTGCCCGAGGTGCAGGGCAGTGGAGAACTGGGCCCGTTGACTCCAATTTCAGCCTGGATTCTGCTCTCAGTGACACCAGTGTGAATCCAGAGTCACTCCAGTTGCTTCCATGTAGTTTATACTGCACTCAGAGTCTAGCCCTTCCTGGTCTGACTCTCCAAACTGCTTTGTTTTGTGGTAACGCCCCCTGAGGTGCAGAGAGAGGGGATGGGGAGGGGTGTGCTCAGTATCTTTGAAAATCAGGTTTCTCACTAGGTGCCCAGGTTGGAAGTGGAGCTGCGTGAAATTTTTCACAGGCACCATGTTTTTTGTCATGAAAAATGCTGATTCAGAGACACCAAAACATTTCGTGCATTCGTGTCAGTTTCGCACCACTTGTTTGTCCAAAAAAAAACCCCTCAACAATTTCCAAAAATATTGAAACATTTCAGTTCAAAATTTCCTTTCGTTTCCAAATGGATTAGCCATCTAAAAACGCTCAAAATCAAAACCTTTTGTTTGACCTGAAACACTTTTTGTTTTTCACTTTTCGATGGGCCACGAAAATGATCACGGTCGGTCCAATTTGAAATGAAGTTTGTTCCCCGCACACGCCGTGACTCGCCCCGGCTCTAGTCGCAAGGGGCTGGCGCCAGCTCTTTGAACAGCAGCGGCAGCTGGTCCGGGTGGGCAGCCAGAGACTCACCGCTCCCTCTCCCCTCCTTGTATCTTTCCAGCTTTGAGCCCAGCGCTGAACTCGGTGATCCGGCTGCCCTGCCCACAGCTCTCCGCCCTGGCAAATTACAGCTGGAGCTACCCAGGGGATAAGACCCCGGCGGGGCTGACGATGCTGGACAATAAGATGCTGGTGATCATCATGCAGCGCCAGGCGGCGGGCGAGTACACGTGCTGGGCCAGCGAGAACGGGCACCGCCAAGCTGTGGCCCGCTATGTGGTGCAGGACCCCACGGAAGGCGACATCCTGAGCGAGAGCGGAGGGGACAGCATGGTTGGGCAAGGGCTGGAGCGGGGGGCAGGCCCACAGGGCGGGCACCGCTCCTACTGGGCGCAGTTTGTGACGGTGACGGTGCTGCTGTCGATGACGCTGGCCGTAGCCATGGCCATGGCCGGCTTCTCCTACCACAACAGGCTCAAGGCCAAGAGCAAGGTGCAAGGATGCAACACCCCCGAAGCCACCAAGGTGTCCAATCAGGAGAAGGTGCCGCTGAACGGAGGCCGGAGCCCCCAGGAGGGGGCCAAGGACCCCAGGGACTGCTGTGTCCAGATGGAGGGGCTGTACCAGGGCACAGACGCGGACAACAACAGGTTAAATGCCAGCTTGGGGGCCGGGGAGGGTTCCCAAGGGGCGGCTCTGGAGAAAGCATAGGCTGGCCGTGCCTGCCCCGACCCGCCTTTCGTCTCGAAATCAGCCGTGTCGTGGTACCGAGCAGCCCTACGATAACAAACCAGTGTGTGTGGCTCAGCGCTCGGGAGCGACCCTACAATAACAAACCGGTCTGCGTCCAGCCCCCAAATTCATAACAAACGTCGTATCAGCTGGTGAGACCTTCCACACAGCGCGCCCAGAAACGGCACCTGCTCCTCGTCAGCGGGCCAGCTACCGCCGCCCGCCCATGGGTGGGTCGCTGCACCGCTGAAGAGCGATGGGGCCAGCCTGCCTCACTGCGCTGCCTGGGCATCACCACCAGAGTCGTGGGACGGGCGTTAAAAACAAAAAACAAAAACAAAAAACCCTCCGCTTTTGGGTTTCCACACCAAGCAAGAGACAAACATGGAGCACGTCTGGGGCTCTAGATGACCAGGTTCAAAGGAGCTGGGGGGCAGAGCGGCGCTGGAGGATGCGTGAGCCCTTCCTGGCTCGTGCCCGCCAGGGATTTCAGCAGGGAGCAACCCCGCTGTGGGATCTGAAGGGGCGCAGGGTTGCTGTGTCTACAGAGCTAAGCTGCGTGCGTAGCTGCTGCTTCCCGAGCTGTTGCCCCCAGCACTGGCCTGGACCAGCTGGGAGCTGCCACGTCCGCACCACGAGAGCTGTGAACAAAGGCCAACGTGCGATGCCGCAGCTACACGTTACCTAGCGTGCTCCGGCCGGCTCAGTCCTCCCCTGTGAGGGATGCGGTTGGTGCCAGTCGATGGCTGGGTGTAGCTCTGCCGGGGCCCAATCCGGCTCCTCGCGGCTCTGAATATGGGGTCTAATGTTCTGCCTTTGAGTGCAGGGTCAGCAGTTCAAAGCCAGCCCCGGCTGGCAATGATCAGACAGCTGATCCTCATCGGCCTGTGAGCAGCTGGGCTCCCAGTCTAGTTCCTGCTTGGCCAGAGGTCTGGATCAGAACAGCCATTGCTAACTGGCCCCCTCAGCGGGGAGACCGGAGATGGCCCACATCACGGAGACTGCGCTCTGCTCTGGGGGGGTGTCCTTCCATCAGAGGGCATTGTACTGTCACTCCCTGCTGTGTGTGGGCAGAGGGCTTTAGGGCCTGATTCTCATTCACACTACAGCCTCTTTATACCACTCTGGTCCGGTAAAGGGGGCATCAATTAGCCACACCCCCTCTGCCCTGCCGGAGTGGTATAAGGGGCCTTTTAGGGTAAGTGAGAACCAGGCTGAGTCCCTGGGGTTTTGGAGCCAACAGCCTGAAAAATCGGCTTGGGGGGGGGGGGGGGGGGGGGGTGGAGGGGGGTTTGGGGGTGGGGAGGAGGCGGAGGTTGTGACCAAATGTGAAGTTGTTGTTTTTTTAATTTAATGTTTTTAGATTTAAGTTAAGCTTTTCCCGGTAGCAGCGATCAAACCCTTTGTTTCACCACCTCCGCGGGAGGAACGCGGCTACCGGAACCAGCTCCGGGCCCAGCGGCTGGCCTATAGCCTCACTGACAATGCCCAGTGCCTGGGTTCGTAGCCTCGGAGCCAGACGCGCAAACATGGTGCGGTTGTCGCACGAACCACTTGGTTAAACGGAGCCAGGCGAGTGGATTTCCCCGGGAAAGGCCTCGGATTTCTCCCTCTCAAATGGGATCGGGTTGCTCGTTTCTAAAACCCTTCTTCAACCGCATCAGTATTATTTTGTGATGGATAAATTAACCCCCGCATTGCTGGTCTCCTGCAGCTCTGACACTGCTATTATGCTTCAGTGAAATCAATGCAACACGGGATGGGTTCACTTGTTACATTTTCCAGCAGAGCGGGCGGGATCTACCAGGATATCCTTGAAAAATCCAGGCTTCTTTCTCAGTTACGCTCACACCCATTAACCCTGCTCTGGGCAAGACTGGCTTCTAAGGCACTGGGGGCCTGATTCCCAGTTACATCCAGGTCCTTTTACCCCGCTCCGGCAGGGGAGAGGAGAACCAGGCCCTGGAGATTTCAGACGCTGGGTTGGCTTCAAGTGGCAATGCCTGGGGGCACTGAGGGTTGCAACATGTCAGCACAACTACGCTGATGCCTGTAACCGGGGCAGATCCCCACCTTATTGTACAATAGCCACCTGATCTGAGGGAAGAGCATTGTCTGAGCTCTGTGGCAGACTCAACGCCCTTAAAAAAAACACCCAAGCAAAACTCTTCCCTGGAACCTTTCCCTCTTTGATTCAGTTCACTGGATAAAAATGAGGGCATCTACATGGAGATCGCTATGGGACTCTGAAATCCTGCTGGAGACAAGGCCAGGGAGTTGTTACCATGATGCGGCTAGTCAAGGTGAACTCCAGGAGGGGCAGGGTTCATTTGAACAAGCCACATTGAGGTAAAAACTACCTGGGCCTGGTCTGCATGTGGATTTTATGCAGAGGTACACATGCCTTTCCGCAGTGCCTGTGTGTGCAACCTCCTGCTCTCATTCCTGTGCCGTCTACTGCTCTGTAACAATGACTAGATTCTTCGATCAAGTGCCTGAGCTTTTACAGGCGGGACAAAGCCCATCCTGTCTGTCTGCGTCACTGAGCACCGGGGTCTGTGCCACGTTGTCCGTACTGCAGTGCCAAGCGCAGCTTTCGGGCCTGATCCTCCGCTGGTGTCAATCGGAATAGCACCTTGGGCTCAATGCTGAGCTACACCCGCTGGGGATCTGGCCCCATTAACTTCAGTGGAGCAGGGCCACATTACACCCGCTGGGGATCTGGCCCGTCGTTGCTTGTTTTATGATGTTTAACCTTATTTTTTTTTATAAAAAAAAAAGATGTACATCTTCCTCCTCCGGATACATTTTATTTTTTATTAAAAAGAGAATGTCACACTCAGGTTCTGCTTTTTTATTCTCGTAAAGAGCGCGTTGCTAATAAGAGAGAAAGGGCCTGATTCTCCAGTACAAAAGGGTGTAAAACACTACCTTTCTGAATGGATGGCCCTTTGCACTGGTGTAAATGGCTGGTGTAAAAATGTCTGTTGAATAACCAAGGACTGGATTCCATTTACTTCGATTGTTGGTCTTAAAGGAGCTACATTTACTTGACGTTTAATACCATAGGGATTACCTCAACCACCATTGAAAGGCAGCTGGCTCTGGGATGAATGCCTTTTAACAGCTCTCAGCAACACTACAGCAGGGGAAGCAGTGGAGAAGCTGTTTGTTGAGTCAGAAGGGTTAATATAGTAACACTCGTGTCCAGTGGCTTGCAGAGCGCTGCGATAAAGTGGGCATCATCGTCGCCATTTGACACGGGGAAAATGAGGCACAGAGTGGGAGGAGTGACTTTCCCAAGGCCGTCGGCAGAGCTGGGAGCCAGGAGTCGTCATTACCAGCTGCCTACTCTAACCGTTAACTTTTCCCCGGTGGGAGAGAGGCTCCTAAATTCCTTTGAGGCGCCAGAAGATTCCAAAGAGCCACAATTTTGTGCACACAGCTACTCAGAACTCCTTACCGGAGCCTTGATTCAGCATCTGATCCGAGGTACGAGCGCTCCTTTACTGTCACCAGCGCACCAGTTACGTCTACACCCCCAACGCTGCTCAGTTTGGTAGATGAGACAAGATCATGCTGTTACCACTGCAAATCAGTCTATGGCTTCTATTCCTGTAGCAGGATAGCTCAGTGGTTTGAGCAGTGGCCTGTTAAATCCAGGGTTGTGAGTTCAATCCTTGAGGGGGGGGGCAGTTGGGGATTGGCCCTGCTTTGAGTAGGGGGTTGGACTAGATGAAGTCCCTTCCAACCCTGATGTTCTATGATTCATCTCAACACTTCACAATTTCTAATGTGTTTATCCTCACGCGCACACCGTGTGAGTCAGGGCACTGCTATTACCGTCCTTTGACAGATGGGAAACCGAGGCACAGAGAAACTAAGGCCCAGCTCCTCAAAGGTGTTTAGGCACTAAAATACTTTTGAAGCATCTGGGCCTAAGCAATTTGCCCCAGGTCACACAGCAAGTGCGCAGCAGAGCAGGGAATTGAAGCTAGGTTTCCTAAATCCCAGGCTAGTGCCCTAATCACTAGGCCGTCCTTTCTTTGGGAAAAGCAAAACCAAGCCTGGTTGTTATGGATTGATCTTCAAAGGGGTGTGGCTCCTGCTGACTTCAAGTGCAGCTGTTTGCTCAGGACTCATGCAAAGCAGGGCTTTATCAGCCAAACTCATCTGCCCCGCCTGTGCGCCTGTCTCACTGCAATAAAGAAGGAAGGCAAGAAATGGGTCACGAACCAGAGGGACATAATGGCAACTTTCCCTCAGACAGTGTGAAAAGAAAAGAATGTGCTGACAGCTGTGTACTGCCAGGGATCAATGAAAGGAGTGATCTGAAACCGTGATCTCGTTAGCTCTGATCTTTTAAGGATTGTTACCTGGCTCTGTCCCTTGAAAGAGTCATTATTTGGTCTGGTTCATTAAGAGTCATTAATTGTCTCTTTGTTTGCTGTGTTGTTGTAGCCATGTTGGTCCCAGGATATTAGAGAGACAGGGTGGGAGAGGTAAGAGTTTGTATTGGACCAACTTCTGTTGGTGAAACAGACAAGCGTCCCAGCTACACAGAGTGCTCCCGGGGGCATTCTGTGCCAAAAAATAAAAAATTCTGCACACAATATTTTAAAATTCTGCAAATTTTATTTGTCAAAATAGCACTACATAATCACACCAATTTCAATTATTTTGGTAATTTGTTTCAAAATACCTGTCAGCAAATATGTCTGTTACAATACAGACACACCCCAAAATTCCCCCAGGAGTAGAGAGTTAAAGAAACCCCTATGACAACCCAGCTCCTGTTTCTCTGCCCCCTTCCCCCGCAGAGCCCAGCCAGGGGGCCAGAGACACAACCCCTCCCCCCCCAGAGCCCAATCGCAGGCCCCCGCCCCCAGTCCAGATACCTGGCCCCCCTCCACCTCCCAGAGCCCAGCTGCGGGCCCGCCCCCTCCCCCTCCCCCAGGGATCCAGAGGGAGAAACAGCCTGATGCTTGGTCCCAGGCTTGCACAGAGTTTCCTGCGAGCCGCCCTCTCCTTCCCTCAGAGCATGCTGGGAACTGCAGCTGCCAGGAACCATTAGCTCCCTCTCCCTTCCCCCAGCAGTGTCTTCTCTGCTGCCCATTTCTGTGGGGGAAGGAAATTCTGTGCGCAAAGGGTTAATTTCTGCAAAATTCTGCATTGCGCAGTGGCGCAGAATTCCCCCCGGAGTAACAGAGCTCTTCTTCAGGTCAGGGAAAGGTACTCAGGAGTGTCACAGCTAAACACAAGGTGGAACATTGTTTAGCATAAACCTTGCTGGTGGGCGAGGTCTCCCCGGCTCACTCACGGAATTGGCGGTGGCCGGTGAGGCTGGGTGGGTTCGGGGCTCCGGGGGTAAGGTCCCGTAGGAGGGGGTTTAAAGGTCCCTTCCCCCTTGCGGGTGGGCGAAGTCTCCCTGGCTCATTCTCGGCATTGGAAGTGGCCGGTGAGGTTGGGTGGGGTTGGGGTTCAGGGGGTAAGGTCCCTTCCCCCTTGTAGGTGGGTGAGGTCTCCCCGGCTCGCTCTCGGAATTGGCGGCGGCCGGTGAGGTTGGGTGGGTTCGGGGCATAAATTTAAATTAAATTAATAGAGATATCCCATCTCCTAGAACTGGAAGGGACCTTGAAAGGTCATCGAGTCCAGCCCACTGCCTTCACTAGCAGGACCAAGTACTGATTTTGCCCCAGATCCCTAAGTGGCCCCCTCAAGGATTGAACTCACAACCCTGGATTTAGAGGGCTAATACTCAAACCACTGAGCTATCCCTCCTAGCATAAGGAGTTAACACATATTCTAAGGGACCCTGCAAGGCGAAGTAGCTCATTAACACCCCAGCAGCTATAGGACAAA